AAAAAGAGTTAAAAAGTTAAGCATTACCTTCAGATAGCAAGTAGAAAAATAAAGAAAAAAGTTAATAGTTAACATTGCAGTCCTTCTTAATTTAGTCCAGAAAGTAGAACAACTATTTTAACTCAAGTATTTTTCTTATCTGCTCCAGAAGGAATCATCGAAGAAATAACATCACAGAGTAAAATTACACACAACACAATTTGGATTCTCCTGTACGTTGGTACGATCAAACACACAAACTGGAAGACCTTTTTGCCGAACACTTCAGCGCAGCTCACAAGAATGTCCCTGAGCTTTCATTGACGTGTCATTTTAATTCCCCATGATGCTCTCAGGCTGACATCGACTTGGCCTACAGCACTGTCCCCGGGAAGGTTAAGGTAATAAACTGTGCCTTGTCTTCTAATTACGCATTTAATAGCTGTACGGACTCAAACATTTCATTCCATTTCACAGTGTCCTCTATTTTGTTTCCTTTTCTTTCGTTTTTAATTTTTTTTAGCCAGCAGCACGCCTGCTCCAGACACATTTTGGCTTATTTGTTTATTTTCTTGCCCCATCTTAATTTCCTTTGGCCCGTGACAACTGACCGTTCTGTCATCAATTTTCCCTGTCTTCCATTGCATCATAGATATTTCTCTTGTCTGAAAGACAGCAGGTGGAGCACTAAAATGAAAGGCCACTGAAAGCATCAAGAAGCCGGTCTGCAAGATTCCTAAATAGAGAAGGTACTCATTGAAAACCTAGCACAGGAAATGCTTTTGGAACTCTCATGATTCCATCACCCTATGAGATTTCTTCACCTTCCCAGGTCAATTTTCAGATTCTATGAGTGGCTGCTTCTTGATAAGGACTTTTCTCCAAGCAGGTTGTTCTTGATACCTGTACAGCACGTCAATAAAGATGTAGCGAGGTGCTATCAACTAGAGATGACTACAATTAATATCTGACTGGCATTGATGAAACCATTCGCATTTTGAAGCGACTTTTAAAAAATTCATTAACAGAATGGAGTCATCACTGGCTGGGCCAGGATTTATTGTCCATCTCTAGTTATCCTTGGGAAGTTCTTGAATGTCTTGAACCTCTGCAGTCCATTCGGTGCAGTTGGCACACAATGCCTGCATGGAGGGAGTTCCATGATTTTGACCCAATGACACGTGGAGAATGGAGATATAGTTTCAAGTCAGGATGTGTGTAGCTTGGAGGGGAATGTGCAGGTGGTGGCGTTCCCATGTACTTGCTGCCGTTGTCCTTCCTGGTGGTAGTGATCATGTCTATTGAGCTTTGGTGAATTTCTGTAGTGCATCTTGTACATGGTACACATGACTGCCACTAAGTTGGTGATTGAGGAAATGAACTTTTATGAATGTGGTGCCAATCAATAGGCTTCTTTGCGCTAGATGATGTGATGGTTCTTGAGTGTTGTTGGAGCTAAACCCATTCAGGCAATTGGGAAGTATTCTATCACACCCGACTCCTGTAAGAGGGATGATGAATGTTCTGGGACTCTTTAACTCCTGCCAAAGTTTTTACCCAATTTTGCAGCAATAGCAGAACCTCTTTAACAAAGTAATATCTCAGGATGCATAAGTAAAATGCTGATAGGATTCCATCACGGCATTGATCACCATGGGAGGAATGTCATGATAAATAGCTTACATCATGACTGGTGGAAGTTGGCACTCAATACCTGCTGGTGAAATATTGCCAAAAATATCTACCCTGAGGGCAATGCATCCCTGGGATGGCTATTCACATGAACATACCAAGTCAACCCAGATCAGGGGAACCTTGAGATACCATTCAGATATTTTTATGGCACTTATCCCATCCATGCTGAGGGGCAACGATACTGTTTGATTTTCATGGATCACTACCTGATGCCTAGAGGCATTCGAGTCATGGGATTGCACTGCAACCACCATTGCATGGATATTTGCCAAGGCAGTGATAGCCTGGAGGGGAGTCCCCACTCAGATAGATTCCGATCAGGGAGCCCATTTCAGCGTAAGGCACTTTGTTCCAGATTTTATTTCATTGACCCACCACTAACCTTTAATCAAACCATACTTTAATCTTACAACACAGTTG